TCTAGCAACTTTTCAACTGATGGTTTTAGAGAACTTTATGTAAAAAAGCTTTTCTTTAAATGTTCTGTCGATTGCGCCAAACACTCACTATATAAAATTATTTTTACTCTTAGTTAATGAAACAAATGACACGTTAAAATCAAATAATTCGTTTAAAATAAATTGTAAGTAACTTTTTATTAGAAATTAAATAAATAAAATTTAACTTTTACCATTAACTCAGAGCAAGAACGTTCTTTTGAAATTTTATTCTGAAAACTTTATTCTTAAAATGGTTCACAGAAGAAACTAAGAGGACATGTGCTATTTAAATAGATTTTTATGCTAATTTAAAAAAAAAAATGGAGAATTGTGGAACAGAAGTTCTCGAAAGCTAACCAACCCGTGTAGAAGTTTTAAAATGTAAAAATAGGACTACAGTTACCTGAACAAAGTAACCGATTTTTCAAAAGAGATGGGTTTTCACAATAAGATCTAAAATTTTATCAACTTGTCGGAAAATCCAAGAAAATGGGTCATGATAAACACAAGTTTTGTGCCCCGTAAATCATAATAAAAAAATAATGTTTTTTACCTATACTAGTTAAGGAAAGTATTGCGATCGGGTCAAATTTCCGATATTTTTATTTATTATTACTTTCGTTACCTTCAGCTAAACTGGTTTTGCAGGGATGGTATATCTCACAATTATGTCATTTATTTATATGAACTTGATTGATGTTCGTTCGCTGAAGAAAAAAACGTTTTCCAGGTTGTATTTATTATAATCAAGTAATTCGTTTAAAATAAATTGTATCATCTTAACGCAAATGCTGTTTATTTTTCATTTAACATTACTTTTTGTGAGAAATAAATAAAATTTAACTGTTACCATGAACTCAAAACTTCATTACAAAAACGTTCTTATCGAATTTTAGCATTCGAAGTGGTTGGAGTCGCTCTGGTTTTTACACTCTCCAAATAATATCAACATCAAAAAATTAAGCCTTCCTGTTGCGAGATGATAATTTAACATAAATGTTATTATTAATAAAAAGTATGTTTCTATTTCTCTTTTCTTCTGGTACTTTTCTCGTTAAGTTTCTTGATAAAAATTTTAAAAAACTAAGGCACCGTTAACTTTAAAAACAAAGAGAAATTCTACAACCCTCCTCCAATAGAACAACGATACATTCTAAATGATATTATGTAAACGTCCGAAGTTGTAATCAAAACAGAAGGAAAACCGAGTGACTGGGATAAGAGTGGCGAAGTTGGGGCAGAAGGAAAAGTTTCTGGAAAAGTTAAAACATGTAAAGTTGAGGTGGGAGGGGGGAGGGGAGGGTTCAAAAGAGAGCAAATTACCGTTGAAGTCTGGATACCCGCCCCCTCCCCACAAATCGAAAAGGGGGAATTCTTCTCTTATGGCAACATCCGGCCGGAATTACAAAGCCGTCGCTATCTCTCTGACCGAGCGGCCAATTAATTTTATCAAATCTGCAGATTAGGCTCGTTAAAATTAATTTATTTGATCGCGTATACATTATTTTCAATTTTATGTACTTTTTATTGCAATATTTTTTTGACAGTAATTAATAAAATTAATTTTCGAAAATAATTATTCAAATAATCAAATCAATTTGTTTTTTGAGAATTGACCACTTAAGATCCTGCTAAAATCTCATTTTTTTCTTTTTATGAACTTTCCTTCTCTTCCATGAATCTCTTACAAGAACGCTGTGCAGCAGCTCACGTTCATTCATCCAGGCTCTTCCAGTGCTCTTAGGTTTTTTGACTTGAATCCTATCGGAAAGTATCCTTATAGATAACTGAACCTACCGGATGTTTGGACTTTACTAGATCTTTACGAAATCCCTTAATTCATAACGTTCTTTTCTTTTTTCACAGGTAGTCGAATATCGTTTTTGTTAATCTGGTTCTGCCCATCCTGTGCAAATGTCAGAGGGATGCTAACATCCTCTTTCTCATGGTCGCCAAGATTTTCTCCACATCTTTCTAGATTTCTTTATTGTTTCCAGCCGGTTTCAACATAACTTTCCGTAGTAATCTTATTTCTAGTATCTCCAGTCTTTTCAATTTTTAGTTCATCGAAAGGCACTCACTGGCATACAGACGTCCTGTTTTTACCGCGCTGTTGTAATTTATTTATTTTAGCGTTCCAAGAGTTGCACTTTTTATTATAGATATTTTTAAATAGTCCATAATAAAAGGTCTCTACATTTTTGAGATTCTGTCTAAACAAATAAAAATAAATATTTGTATACTTTTTTAACTATCTAACTTTAATAAAATGCCTAAAATCTGAATTAATTTGGTCTATTTTCTTTTATGATTTAATATTTACAGATTTTGTCCATTTCTTTGAAGAGTCTTTTAATCTTATTATATTTTTTTTCTATGTAAAAATTAACCCTTTAAAATTCAAAACATATTTTATTAATGCATAGGAACAACATTAAACTGATGATAACTAAACATTAAACTCTGTCTATTTTAAGCAAATATAAAAAATGAGTTTCATGAAAATCGTTAGAGCCATAAACTGACACCTCAAGTTAGTTGATTTTAGGGAAAAAGTTTCTATAACATCCTAGACATATAACTATCTTAAATATGTAATATTAGTTTTGTACGGCTTTTCTTTTGTGAACTAAGTTTTTCAGAAAACTAGCATTTAGCGAGATGTGGTTATAGAGACATTAAAACGTTTTCTTTCAAGAGCGTGATATATCGTGAAATCACATCCCTTACTATATTTTACATATAGGAAAGTGTAAGTAACTTATTTTATGCTGTTGTAAAATTTTCTCTTATATTTTCCATACGCTTATGCATCCGAAAGGGTGTTTCGAATAAAGGATGATTAAGCCGGCGAACAGTTGATGCTCTGTTGGTCTGCCATATTGTAACGTAACGGTCTTGTCCTACCAAGATTGATGCTAACAGTGTTGGAGTTGTCCTCGATCAGAATCCTGGTCGTTTTGGAATATCGCAATAAACCTTAGCGAGCAGATGATCGTTCATAATTAATACTATTTGAATGGAATTTAGACTTAATGTTGAAGTCTTTTGTGTCTTACCAAAGTTACCTAAAAATCAAAGCATATTTTTTTAGCCCTTAAGATACTTGATTTTAATCACATATTATCCTTTAATTCTAATTTATCAGTTCTTTGTACAGCTATATTCTAAGAAAGCAATAATGTATAAGACGAGAAGCAGTTATATTAATGTATCATTTTATTGTTGGTAGGACTTAAAAATTTGAAAAGGGGCAAATTAAATATGATCTTGAAAGCGTAAAAGTTTGTAATAACCATGTTCCTTTTACATTACGTTGTTGAATTTAACCAATTTTCATCTTTGTTAAGAAATCACATTTATGCGAAATAAAATTTGGTAGTTGAAAAGCTGTTTTGGACCTTTAACTAATACCGCAGGTCCTTAAAATGAGAGTTCGATTCCCACACTTGTCCACCAAAATTTACATTTTCGGGTGGGAACGCTAGTTTACTGTGGGAATGGCGGAATTAGGTTATGAAAGCTTTCGTTTCATTTGGCTCTTACATCCTGTTAATTGGAGTAGAAGAGCTGCCTGCAAAAAGATGAGATACGCTGTTTTATATACAATAATGTTTTTTTTTTTTTTATAATGCAGACAGTAGAATACTTTTTATTCGGAATAATGTAGAAAGAACTACAATAATAATACACGGCTGCTCAACTCTGTTGAGTTGCTAAATCACACAGAATGGTCATCAATCAACAGATAATATTTAAAAAAATAAGAGAATCAAATAATAATCTGTTAAGACGGAGCATTGGAATACCTAGCAAATATACTAAGAACCAGGGGTGCCATCAAAATTTTTGAGGGGACCATATTTTGACGGATGTTTGAATTTTCGAGAGTGGCAAATTTCGACGAGGTTAAGAATTTTTGGAATAAAGGGAAAAATACGGAACAGATCCCAGCAAGTGTAATTGTATACTGTCTAAGATTTTTCAAATTCTACCTTAGCTTGCTCTATTTTTAAGAAAAGGTGAGTAATAAAATATTATAAGAGTAAGGAAGGAGGTTTCTTGCGCCATCAATCTTCGGGAGGACGGGTATCCCTGCCATGAACAGTTTACAGAATCAAATAATAAAAGATAAAGATCAATCAATGGAGGATTCCTAACGAGTCTAAATTAATAGTTTCTGCCATGGTATGTATCCACTCCCTTCCAACACCCTGCTTCTGCAAGAAATCACGTGTAGTAAGAGGAATGGTTCACATGCTAGTAGCCTTTCCGGATAAAAGAAGAAGACATGATTTAAATATGTAGTAACCTGCATGTTTTTAGATATTTTTGTGGAGTAAAATGTTAGCCTTTTTAGATTATGTTATAACGAAAAAATCCCATTTTTTAAATACTTATTTTTAAAACAAAATAGTTTTAAAGAGAAGTAGTGGGGATGGAGCTTTAAATCTTCCATCCACGAAATATCTTTGCTTTTGTTTTATCAACCTGTTGTATTTGAATAAATAAAAAAAAAAATACATTTAGTTTAAAATATGTTTGCAATGTGTTTTTATAAATGCATGTTTATAAATTAGAGCTAAGAGACAATTTAACATTATCGTGTTTGGCTACTGCATAGGTCACGACAGTCTAGTATCAGGCCACACGCTGAGTCCCCACCACGAATCCGAAACGCACTGTTATTTTAAGTTTTTAGCAAAAATTAAAACTTTATTTTATTATCTAATATGTGCAATAACAATTTTGTTTGCATTCTAAATCACTTTAATTATATTGCAGCTCTAATTTACGCATAGTACGTTCCGAGTATGTTGGATATACCAGATCCGCATGCGTTGTACGACTGTAGTTTTAATTGTAGAGTTGAGCCAGTTTAATTATTCTGTTACTTTTACATAATTAGAAAAAGGTAATTTAAAAATATAAAAAATAAAGTCAAATAAAATAATATTAAAATGAGGTGGAATGGGAAGATGGCGGGTAAACGTGGAGATGGTACGGACACTGGCTGCGGAATGCGGGAGGTATTGATTGTAAGCGGGGGGAGGAAGGGGGGGAAGTTTGCCCCTTAATAACAGCACACGGCCGACAGTTCAACTCCCAACTCCCCGGGTAATTAAGTTTCAGTTCTTCTCCTCTAGCGGCGGAGTTGTGCAAACTTTAGATGAGCTTTCGAATATTGTTACACGGCTGATAAACTTGTCGGAAATCTGCCACTCGCCGTGCTTTACTTATAATCCGTTCTACTTTAAAGTGCTCGTCGGTTGCCGAAATGTCCTCCCGTAGTAGTTACTCACCTTTCGGACTTTCATAAGTTTTTATTTAAATTATGGTTTAAACCATAACTTCGTCTTGGAACACGGTCTCTATTTTTTTTTTTTTAATATTAACATGATTTTGAATTTTTTGTTTTTAAACGTCGCTCCGACTGCAATGATTATTACCGACGAGTGGTTTTCTTAAATTTAAGTAATTAATTTAATTATTTTTTATGTATTTGATCGTTTTTATTTTCAATTCTACTATTTTCTTTGCATGGGACTGCGTTTTTAATTTTGAGATTGAATTGTTAATTTTTAAATTAAAATACGTGTTGATCTATGATGAGCTATGTATTTTCATATGTTTTTTTTTTTTTGTTCCTACATTAGCTCGTCCATTTTCGCTAACGTTTATATGTGAAGGAATCCTTATCAGTATTATTTCCTTTCTTGTTCAATATCATGACTTGAATGTTTTGGTGTAATTTGTTCTTGGTCCATACGTTTTGCAGTCTTTTAATAACTGTTAAAGAGTCGGTCGCAACATCTGATTTTTGATTGATCAATTGATCGCAAGCCCAAGACTGGGTGCGCAAGACCGAGACTCGTCTTGGTCTCACATTCTACGTCACTAAAAACAGGTACTAATGTTCATTATGCGTGGGTTTGCTTAGTTAAATAAAATGAATCTTGATGCCAAACATATATTAATTTCCATTGTGTAAATTACATATTTTGAAACCAATTACAATGTAAAGACTTCAACTTACAGTTACGATGAACGAAAAGAAGGGTATGCTCTTATCGTAGCTACTAAATCATTCAACCGCATACCATTGCGAATAAAACCACGAGGCCGTGTTGTTATCGTTTCAACTTATCGTGAATGGCTTTTAATAACCCAAATTGTAAAAGTGTCCAGGGTGAGAATAAATTAATAAATGCTATGGTGCTTTTTGTGTAGTTCAGATCAAATTTCAGCAGTTCTTCATCAGTCTTAGCGATTAAGAGCAATAGTACATGTAGGCATAAAGGTTTTATCTCATGATCATACATATACCTAATAACTATAAATTTATTGTTGTGCAATAATTCGTATTTTTTTTTTCTATAACACCATTCTATTCCGAAAACCCGTGATAACTTCTGCGTTACGGCCCAATGAATCAAACCGCGGGTTTCCTTTGTTCTGTTTCCTTCGCCTTTCTTTTTCCAAGGATGTCCAGGATAATAACAATGGTTGCGTTATCTAAATGTATGTTTTATGTATCATCCTTACGAGTTCGACCTTTCGCGTATTAGTCATGTAATTGATTATTATTCGCAATTCATGGTCGTGAATATTATTACCTGTTAGATTATAATGATAATTAAAAAACATTAACTATATCTTCAACAATTAGGTTTGCGTATTAACTGTATTATTTTCGGTTCAATGTTAATTAAACTATGGAACGAATATAGGATTAGATAGGTTAATATTTTATATCGAAAAAATGTATAATTATTCAGTTGGGCTGTATTGTTAGGAAAAGATATGGAAATTTACCAATAAATCATATTTTTTTACCCAAGGTTTTATCCTAAACTGAGTTTATAATTGATTTTAAAACTTAGTTTAGGATCAATTATTCATAGCCCTTGACCCAGGTTTAACGTTTTTTATTAAAGAGAAATTGGTGGGGTTTTTCAGTAATTGAAAATACAAAGTAATAATAAATAAATTATATTTTTTTTATTATCTTTGTGTCGACGTTTCGGCCTAAGTTTCAGGCCTTCACCAGGGAGGGGTAAGCAAAGACAAGATACAATATAAGTATTGTGAAAATATTAAACAGTAATGGTAATAATATGTAGGTAAAAAAGTATAGTCAAATAATATGGAGGTAGTTAAACCTAGAAACCACTTTTCTTCAATATATATGTATATATTCTACAGTAAACAATTATGCATTATCCTAAAGTTTTTAATGTGGATTACGAAAGTATATTTTTTATTTATCTCTTCTCCATTAACAATGGATTCTACTGAGGATTTTGGATATTAGGGATTGGATACAGTAAGACTTTGATGATTTCGTAGAGCCTCAAAGCTCAATACCGTATGTCTAAATGGGGCTGATAATGGAAGTGTATACAGTCGACTCTCGATAAATCGGAACTGAAGGAAATAAAACAAAAACTTTGAATTATCGAGACTTGGAGTTATCAAGACGTTTTTATTATCAAGAAGAAAGGACAAAAAATTCGAATTATTAAGTGCTTTTATTATATTTTTTAAAATACGTATGACCTTGCATAAGTTTTATATTTAAATAGCCTCATCTAAAAAATATTACTAGGAAAATATCGACTTATAAAGAGAGGAAGTGGTCTAGTTGCAAAACAATCTTCCCCTCTCCAGTTACGAAAAGGATTTCGGATTTTCTAGCTATCAAAATACAGCATTTTTTCGATTTACCTAAGCGTTCAAATTGTCGAAAAATTCGAATTATCAAGATTCAAACTATCGAGAATCGACTGTATGAGTTTTTGTAGAATGTTGATTATATTAGATTAAAAATTCGGTGAAATTGTAGCAAGGATGGACTAAAGAATAGATTTTGGTGGTGTCATTTATCCTCCGGATGCTCTGAGCCTTTTCGTTATTACATTTTTTCACGTCCTTTTGTCCTTTGTATCAAAGAATTCCTTTTCAAAGTGAAATACTAAGAAAGTTACATTATTATTAGAAAGGAGACTCGACCGGGAATGGCGAGCTAGCCGGTACCGGTCCCGGTACTTAGGCCACCTGACCCCGAGGTAATTCAGGAGAGGACGAGGCGGGCCGCGGGGGGCTGATGGGCCGATTACAATTGCTAATGGAGTCAGCCTCCCTTTCCCCCACCCCACCACTTTTTATTAAACTTCTTTTGTTTCACTTTCAGCCGCCGTTCTTATTGTCTCTTTGATCCTCGGTCATCTGCCATTGTAATTAGACCAGGGCCTTGCCATCTAATGTTGTGCGTTTGTATGTATTAGAGTATCGCAGGCGTGGAATGTGCGCTACGGATTTCGACTCCGAAAGCGGTTTGGATTGAATCTGGTTAATCTTGAACTTTAACCAGATTAAGGCAATAAGCCACTTTTTTCATGTCCCTTGAATAAATAATGTAATAAATTATTTTCGGAGGTTATTTCATATTTTAAATTATTATAATAAGGAATTGATTTAATTGCAAATTATTTAATCATTCGTTTATTGGTATCGAATTATTTATAGTTAATAAAAAATGAGTTTTTATTTGTTTACAAGCTTAAATGATTGATTAATAGGTCAATCTACACTATATAAAATACAACAGTATAGATCCCTTTCTCGTGTCTAAGGAGGGATGGATGGATATTGATGAATGAGTTGTCAAACGAAAGATAATTTCATGAAGACTTGAGGAATGCCAATTTCGAAACTTAAAACCTCATTCATTACAACCACAATAAAAGTTATTGAATAAATTGAGTAATTTTAAAACTCAGATTGCTTCAAAACATAAATATTTTGACGTGGGCATCAAAATCTGGTTTTGTCTATTTGGAACCCTACCCTGGGTTTTAAATTCCAAAATGTACGTAATTCTTGCTTAAAGCCTCTTAGGTGTTATGAGGAATACTTATTACATGTTCAGATATTAAATATTAAAAAACTGCTATTTATGATGCATCAACTAACAATCTATTGAAATGATGAATGTAAGGGAATAGCAATGATCTCTTGGACACTTCGAATTATATATAAAGTAATGTTGTGATTTTTTTCTTTCATCTTAATTGACTCTATACTCCGCGAGGGAGCGAGGCCGCCCACAAGTAATTTAAAAATGGCTTTAAATTTTTTAATGTAAAAAAGGAGAAAAGTCTATAATCTCAGTAATACATATGCTCTTAGTAAGTGATAGTAAGTAAGCAAAGCTCTTAGATTAATTGTGAATTGGGGGTACCATGTATATGGCCCAACTATTAAACTGGAGGAATATTTTCCAGTTCCAGCTGCTTCAAACTGCTAACCATTTATAAAATAAATTGTTACTTCAACAGTTGAAGCTTCGCTAGGTGTGACCGTTGAATTAATTATATTGATAATATTATGTTGTAGATACGATTTAACGTGCTTCGAATCCATTAGGAAAAGGGTAGCCTTCAAATAAGAATTCCCACTGTATTTGATATTATTTTCACCATTTGACATTTCAATTTTTTTTGCATTTTGTGTAAAAAGTAGTGTTTTAAATTAATTTATTTACTACAAGGTGATTACAGGTGTTTCTCGTGTACTTAACTAGCAATGATTACAATTTTAATTACGTACCTCGTGACCCCATCTAGTAAAATTATTAATGTAGGCCAAACCATGTCACATGGATCATGAATTGTAATCGCGATTTAATGATTAATTGTAATTCAATGAGGTCATGTAATACTCTGTTATTAATAATAATCTTGGTGTGTATATCATTATTAATAAATTATTTTTTTGCGAATATCTACACTTTCTATAATAGAGTTTTATAGATTCCTTTTGCGGCACCAAATAAATAGCTCATGAGCGAGTACAATAATGGGTTATTATAAGTTCAAGCATAGCTGTGTCTTATTGTTTAATATTAAACAGGATATCTTCCTGTAGGAGGAGCTAATCACTTGGTTAGGAGATTGTTACCTTAACAGTTGTGGCAAAGTATGAAGTTTCACCAATTGTCTCTTGAATAAGATATCCTTATTACATTATATTGTATATAGGAATAAAGATGTTTATCTGAAGTTGCTTACACTTGGAATGTATTAGGAAGAAGGGTAGCTATCTCATGTGAGTTATGACTGGGGTATACTAGTTTATATAATTATGTCACAGTCAATACAGTACAGTATTTAAATGGGAGCAGGGTAGCTCATATGTTAAGGTACTGACTTCCAAAGCTCAAGGTCCCGGATTCGAATCCGGCTGATGGCAGGATATCATTTATTCAGTTCATCAGTTCATATGGTTCGACACTGGGGTCATGAGACTCTCTCCGGGCACACACAGCCTCTATAGAATGGGTTAGTTTTAATTAAATAATTTATTAATGGGGAATACCTGGTGGTTGATATCGATCTCGGTCAAATCACCTTGCACAACCGTTGATCAAGAAAGAGTACTTTAACTCCATAAAAATCAAAATGAATCAAAAATTATTTTATTTACATATATATATATACATACATACAACACAGTAAGTTATAATGATGGTTACATGCTTATGGCAACATTACATTACACATGTTACAAATAAATGATGTGATTGCTATTTTATTTATGCAGAAATATATTTTGTACAGTAGGAAAAATAATAAAAAAACCTACATAATAAAACAAAGCTGCAATTTCAATATTTTTGAATTTAAGTTTAGTGATATTTCTAGTGTAAAAATGTCTACCTTTCTTCACAGTTCTATATTTCAACACTGCATTCTGGAATCAAAATTTACTCACTGTCTGTCAATATATTATAAATTTGCCAACATAAAACATCTCAAACATGTTGAAATTGGGGTTAGTCATTCTCTCTACTGAAAGCCTAAATTTATACTGCTTCTCATTCAACACCAAATATATTCTTATATTGATGTATTTCCTCTCTCTAAAGCCTTCGAAATAATGGTTGAAATTATATTCCGTATTGACTATTGTATTCAAATTAATGATGCATCGCTTCAATTTCCCCTTTCCAGTTGTGCATTCGTAAAGTAATTCAATCATCCTTTTGTTTACCAACATCAAATGAAATTTTAATTGCAAATTACTAATTTGTTATTGTAAGAGTTTATTTACTAGTTGTTCTCTCGTACCAATTATTTTGTTCATAAAAACGAGTTCGTGGAATTGTGAGACGCGTTCAATTAATATTCAATTTCAATGTTTTCTACTAATTACAGTGTTTTATAAAATGCCGATAGAATTCATATTTAATAAATCCAGTGGTTGATGATGTCATGTAAAATAAATATACAATCCATTTCGTACATACCAGGATTCTTAATGACATATAATTATCTGAACATTATCTGAAATTTAATAAACGTGTTTCACATTAAAAAAATATATTTTTATTTTTCATGAAATTCAAAATGGATTTTATTCAATTGAAGTTGTTTATTTTTTTACCCGTTGTATTTTATGAGTAACAGCTGTTAATCTCAATAAAATAATAAATTTTTCTTAAAATTATAATACAAAATAAAAAGATTGCATAGTTCTCTTGTTAGTTGAGAAATAACACTATACCAGTTGAAATAATATATCGTTGTAACAATACGTTAGTTTCTGCGGTTTTAAATAAAAAATCATGATTTTCAAGTTAAGCGTTTTACAATAATTTATATGAGTTTCGACCGAATAAATTCGGTACACTCAACATGTTTTTTTATATTAAATTATATGAAATCACTATCCGATTTCTTTTTCCTTTTATTTTTGTTTTTGATCTAAATTTATAGAAAATATACCACGTTTCAGTAAACTAGTTTGTTTGCCTTTGTCCGTTTTGATACTTCGTTCACTCAGAGTTTATAAATTTATATTCTGAATTTTGTGATTGAACGTTCTTACTTAAATATTTATGTATACACATTTATATACATTACATAAACTACACTTTTACTACTTTAACTTTTAGAAAATTCAATTGTAAATATGATTAGTTGTCGCCAGTAATGACTTCTCTGTCAAAATATATGAAGTTTTTTTTATAGTTCTGCTTCTTTATGTCTTTAAAACTATTAATACTGAAACATTATATTATAATATAATAATTATATATTATATCCATCGTTCGATTAAATTTTTTTCTATTTAAAATTCACGTTATTATTATGATTTGGAGTGTGATATCAAATGAAAATAACTCTTTTTATTATTTTCAATTTCATGTTATGTATGTATTTTATAATTTCAATTTTCTATTAATTTTAATAGTGAGACAGTGTTATATTATATGCATTGTTCAATGAGAAAAAGTTAAGGTTTATTTTGTTTTCATTTTTGTGTCTAATGTCAAAAGAAAATCTTTTCAGAAATAAATTTTACTTGGAATAAATTATCATGAATTTTAGAAATTTTATGTATAAATCAATCAAATAGCTTACTAAAAAAAAATATCAAAATATAATATAATCGATTAATTCTTGTTACTGTTCTATAGGTAATTAAATTTTATATAAGCCTATTTGGACCTACGCTTCCCAGATATATGGGACAGCCAAAAAGACTCACATACGTAAATTACAGACTTTTCAATCTAAAACTTTCAGGACTATTACCAAGACTCCCTAGTAAGTCACTAACCTTACTCTACATAAAGACTTACATATTCCAACAGTTAATACTACAAAAGATTTCGTAGTAACGTACACGGACGTACCAACTCATTGATTCGAGGCATGGCCACAACTAACATGCCCGATAGCACCCGAAGGAGGCTTAAATGAAGCTGGATGAGGGATCTCCTCCACTAACTAAAAATATTACACTTAAGACAGGAAGGACGCCGCTGGGTATCTTGACATCTCACTCGCTGATTTTCGGAACTTCTGACAGGGGTCAGTTGAAGAATCGGATTTAAAAAAAATATATATATTATCATATATTTTGTATATAGGCAGATCGAATCGAACGAAAATTGGATTAGTAGTGAGGTAATAAATGAAAATAACGCTTTTAATTTCGTTTATTACCATGATCTACGGACAACATTATTTCCACCTTTATAAGTAATAATAAGGTTTTCTGTGACTCATGTACCAAATTGAGTCTTATGTTGACTTAAACACTAAAGAATTTTCATAATAGATTTATAATTGATCTATATTATTATCATAACTATAATTATCATTAATTAATTTATTTATTTCTTGTTGCAGGAACGGCCAAAACGCGAGGGTAAAAGGAAAAAAGCGGGCCCTAAGAAAGGCGGAGGACCGGCGAAGCCACCACCGCGCCCGCCCGACCGAGGTAAGTCGAGCATCATCATTATCATAAATTATCAATAAAATTATCATCAGGTCGTCGAATTAATTTTACGGCCTTTTGATTGGTTAATGACTGCATTACGGCTCATTTGTCAGCTTTATTGAATCTGTGGGATTCGTGGCTGCCCACATCCTCATCTCGAACCTTTCGAATGAATCAATTATTGTTTCTATTTATATTTTATTAATGAAGTACCAATAAAAAAATGAATTCGTGCTCATAAATATATAATTAAAAAAATTCCAATTATGGACCTTTTATGAAAATGTTATTAACTGCTGTTAGAAGAAAAAAATGTTAAAATTGATAAATATTGATTATTTTCAATATAATTTAGAAGATTAAAACCACGGTTCGTATTTCCTGAATTTAAAATTAATTAAAAAAATAAATCAAATCCAGATGAATCAATTACGCATTTCTAATACAATTTATTACTTATTTTATGAAATAAATTATTAATTCAAATTATTAAATAAGAGAGCAAAGAAGAAGAAAATAAAACCCTATAAAAATACGCTTAGGATAAAATTATTTAATTAAATTAATATTTAGATTAATTAGATTAATAACGGACCTGCGAGAGCTGTAAGGTGCAAAGAACAGTCCAACACAGCATCCAAGACTGCCCGGTATTTGAGAATGTAAGGAAAAATCTCGATATGGCTCAGAGCCTAAAAGAAAACCTCAGCGACAACGAAAACGCCGTGGAAAAAACCTTACAATTTTTAAAAATAATAAAGTTCTACAATAGAATATAAATAGGAAGTGTTGCCAACGACCCTGCAGGGTAGAGGCAACAATAAAAACAAATAAATAAATAAATAATAGATTAATTATCAAAAGGAAATTTCAGAAATTGTAATCCATAACTACAAGAGTAATACAAAAATTAAAGTATATAATTAAGTAAAATAAAAACAGTGAAATTTAAAAAAATATAAATTGATCAGATTGAGAGGGGCTTTTAATGTTTTTATGAAATGTAACATTATTTGTTTGAAAAAAATTAGTGTAAAATCGATAAAGGATCGTCATATATTGGTCAACTGTTGGACGATGGCCACAGCTGACATACCTTGGAACATGAGGAGGAGACTAAAAAGGAGTTGGGTGAGAGATCTCCTTCCTTAACTAACATATGTTTTTGAAACAAGTTAGGAAGGAGGTGCTGTTGAGTACTTTCCTTCCCCATAGTTGGCAGGCGAATTTTTATAGACAAAGATAAAAAATTATACAATAAGTATAAAAGTATGGCGAATAATGTAGGCAAGCCTAAAGAAATATGTCTATACCGCAAATCCTGACTAGTTATGATTATCATTAATACTTTTAAAATCCAAATTAAGAAGTTCCTGTATTTTTGTTTTTCCTTCCTGATCAAAACCTATGCACCGTTACAGTAGGAGGCATCCCCCTATCGAACACTGTCTAATATCCTTCCGAAACTTTGGCTGGAACAACTTAAAATTAAGTCCTACAGTTAAGTTGGCCCGTTAGTCAAAAACTAGCGCCGTAATACCCGCTAGCCCGTCCTTGCCTGCCCTATTAAAAGTTGGCCCCTCCGGGAAGAGTTTTCAAATAAGTTTGATAATCAATTACCAGCCCTGGTGGGCAACTTTTGAATCCTTTAATGAGGAATAATTCAAACCCGGGCAGGGGAGGGGGGGAGGAAGTTTGTTAGTTATAATGAATCCAACTCTCCCCCCCCCTTCACTCCCCCGTCGCCGTACAGCGCCGGGAATTCGTTGCTGTGACATCTTCCCCAGGAATCATCATCTCAAACTTAGATGGATTTCAGCCTCCACTTTTTGCCCGGTTCCTCTTTGATTATCTTTCTTTTCTTGTTTTATTTTTATATACAATAGCCAGTTTCGCTCATGGAAACTTTGTCGTTTCACTGTTTATTTGCAATTTAAATTCATCTCTGTAATAATCAGTTTTCTCCTTTACTTTTAAAAAAAGTTGAGAACGATATATTTTTATTGTCTGAAGTATACTTCTATAACTTCTACTCGTGTTTCTAGAACATGTACATGTCCCGTCCTCAACTATTAAATAATCTAGGACTTTATCGTTAGGATAAAATAGCTAAATGAAACTCTGTCTTAAACACTTAGCTCTCAAATCATTTGGTTAACATAAGTAATATTCTTCATATAGTGGTAAAAAAAAATTAGGTCTGTCCACTAGTATCAGTATAGCTTCTTTACCATTTCTAATGCGTCTAAGATTAATGATTTGTTTGAAATTTAATAATAATTATATGTGCTGTGGATTGGAATTAATTAAATTTGATAAAATTAATTTTGGACCATTCGTACGTTAGTCTTCAACTTTCTTCTAATTTTTTAGTCAAATCGGACGAGCTATTTTCAAAAAATATTTTCAAGAAAATACTTTTACTCTTGAATAGACTTAAGTAATGAATATAATCTGATAAAATTGATGTATAACCGTCTAGGTACTAATTTTGAAAATGTCATAAAAATCGGACTACAATATCATATCGGTCACTCTAGTAAACTTTGCTTTGATTTATCGTCATTTGTATCATAATCTAAAAATGATACATTGCCTTATGATACCTAAAATATGTGATGAATACTTTTGATTGAAATCTATATCTAACAAAAACTTGATTTGTCGAAACTATACCGAGTCCTACAAAAAATCAAATAGAAATACATAAAAAATGTCAAATACATTTTTGATTTATAGCTCATAACAAAAAGGATGAAATGCTGAACATTTCCCTCGCTTACAGTATGCAGGTCGGATTTTTAGTTTCTGAGATATTGTAATACATATGCTCAACAAAACCCGTTTTCATTATTTTTTCCCTTCTTGCCTCTTTAACTATTTTAATCCATATGAAAAAAATAAAAACACTTCGATTAGTCGACTCGAGCCGACTTTACCCGAATGAGTGTTACACATCCGAGTCTGACGGCTCTATCTAATTCACTACCCACAAAACAAGTACAAAGCCTTAAAGAAGTTTTCTCTTAAAAAAATTCAATTCCTGTATGAAAACTAAACGTCCCTACCTTCAACATGATACTTAATTATTATTTGTTATATGCTGGATTTACCTATTTTTTGATTCTGCCTATCTATCCGGTTGTTAGCGTTCCACGTTGTACCTTGCCAACTGTTTAGGCATTGTTGAGGCTTTGTGATGGATTGCTCTGAGCTGCATGCCCATCTTAACTTCCCTTGCTTTCATATCTTTCAGATATTGATTGATCGGTTTCTGTAGGCAGTTCTTTCTTGTAAAAAACAGAAGGGGGTTTCGGAGAGAAGTTGCGCCATCCATATTTTTGAGAGAGGTACATTTTTACGGAGTTTTGAATTTTTGAGGGGTTCAAAACAGAGAACTAGGAGGAAAACATGGGATAAACCACAGCAAGTGTAATTTACGTGATCTGCGATTTTTGTAATCCTACTTTCGCTAGGATTTTTTTTTAAGGAAAGGAGAGAAGTACGATTTCTGAAAAGGGGAATTTGGTTCAAGAGCCATCGCCTTGGGGGAGGAGAGGGAAGTGGAGGATTGGGTACCCTTGTAGAAAACATAATTATTATAAAACTAAAGAATTATTATTAATATCTATGCATGGTAGAAAAATAATTGTGATTTTCTGAAAGATTAAAGACGTAGAAAGAGACATTTTTAAAACTAGAAGGAACAATGCGAAATGGGGTGTAGTACCATGAGAATAATGTGTAGTCACTAAAAATATTTGTTTAATGAGAGATGGAATAGAGGTCAAAAAGATATGGTTTCATATCCAGCTTTGCAGTTTGTTCATTATGAACCTGCGTGTCAACAGTATAATAACAATTTTATTTAAGAAAAATAATACAATCTGCCACAATATACTAAAAATAAATGTATTGAATTTCATAATAATACTGTGAAATTCTTATAATTTTATGAATGGTTTGCATCGTTTATTTACCATAAAATACTATAAAACCCAGTGCTTTACTCAATGATAGACTGAAGTTAACTGCTAGTTTTTATAGTGGGAAAACAAAAAAAAAAACCGAAAATCTTAAAAGAAAACAGTCAATAAAGCGTTGGGTGAGATCCGACCTTGGTTCGGTGCGTGTTGGGGAAGTTTGTCCCTAGTTTGTCAATCCAGTGTCAGCTCCGGTCGTTGGCCTCCATTCGTTCGATGTGTACTCCATCCATCCTTCTCCCCCGGTCTTCGCTCCACCTTTACGAAGAGGTCTTATATCTCCATCAGGATACATTTGCATGCATACATGATACGGGGGAAATAACCTGAATAGATTGTTCTCCTTTCCCTTGTTTCTCTATATATTAGTATGTATTAAATAAGTTTTAGGCAATAAAAATTGATCTAGAGTATTATTCTCCTTTAAATAATATTTCTGCAATGCTTTAAATTCTTTAATAATAAACGAATAATTTTTATCACGATTATACTAATTGAACAAATTATTTTTAACATTTTACTGTTTATTTAAGTATCGGTTTGTAAATGCTTTCCCTATTATAGAATACGTTCGTATTTTCAATTACATGATTTAACAATTATATATTTTTATAATAATTGTGTATTAAAACAAAGATTTTGATGTTGGTTGATATTTTCATTAAATTACTATATTTTATATCGTTTCTCAAAAGTGTTTCTTTGTTAGTACGCCATATTTTTTTTTTCATAAAATTCAATGATAAAACCATCATCTAGAAGATTTTCTTTCAGACGCGAAAAATAGTCATATTCTCCCGAAATTTAGAGAAAAAAATGTATTCAAGTATTATCATCTAATAAATGGCTATTACTTTATGTAAACTAAACTCGTCTCTTCCATAATAGTGATATTAATAAAAAAAACTCAAATCCTTAGCACTGGATCCAATACAATTTAAAAAATTTTTTTTTTAATCTATTTATTGCATAATAATACAATCAGCCACTGCTAGGGTGCTAATAGTTCTCATTCAAACAATATATATGAATTATAGAGAAATAAATATAAATATAAAAAGTAAATAAATAATACTGATGAAGAAAGTAAATAAAAGAAAAAAAAAAGTAAACAATAACATAAAATAGAAACTTCTAAACACAATCATACCTCAATACAATTAGTAATTAATAGCCCAAATGCGAGACCAAGACGACACTTGGTCTTGCGCATTATATTATAATATAATAATCATATTATATGTTCACCGTTCTCTTCTAAAGTTTGTAGCTTCACGTTATTATTGTGATTTGGAGTGTGATCATAATTGAAAATAAGTCTTGTTATTATTTTCAATTCCCTGTCACCTATATATTATAATATCCATTTTCTATTAATTTTAATAGTGACGCAGTATTATATTATATCCATTGTTCAATTAATAAAAAGTTTAGACTCGCGTTATTTTTTTGTTTTGCATGTGTGGGTGTAATGTCAAAAGAAAATCTTTGCAAAAAAACATTTTACTTAGGATAAATTATCATGAATTTTTATTTATAAATCAATATTTTGATCAATTAAATAACATAATAACAAAAAAAATATTAAAATATAATATAATCGATAAATTCTTATTTCTGTTCTATAGGTAATTAAAATTTATATTATCATATATTTTGTATATTGGCAGATCGATGGAAAAATGGATTAATAGTCAGAATTGTTGCCCAAATGCGAGACCGAGACGAGTCTTGGTCTTGCAAACTCAGTTTTGGTCTAGGTCTTGGTCTTGCGCAAGAGTCTCGCGATAGTCTTGCAGTTACCTATTAGCTTATTACTATAGAGATATTACTGTAATTTTTTAGATAGAAGAAACCTAACCAGGTACGAATGAAAAATTAGAAAAGTTAAATGCAGAAGTATATTGGTTATACAAATTCCTTACATATGGTAACTAAAATTGTCAAGTATTAGTAGCTGTTTTGCCTTAATTCGTATTCAAAAAATCATTTTATTTTTTTATCGGTCTTTGACTAATTTTAGGCAACACTAAATACAATCCTCTCTCTTACATTTCATTTGAACCTTGGAACCAAAGTATTGTTATGATTACCTCATTTACTGGTGCACTTCAATTGCAGGAATTCTATCACCTAATTTGATAATATTAATATATTTTTCTGGTTGATTCGCCATTTTCTTCTCATATAGCAAAGGGAAAGTTCTGTAGGAATTATAATTTTTATTGGTTTTCATCCATCATATATACAATTTAACGTCTCCGTCTAACTGTACCAAATCCTCAGCAAAACTAAGAAAAGTGATTTTACAACCCTTAATTGAACCTATTTCTATGCGAATAAATTTTCTAATTATTATTCATTTATTCGGTTTGAATGTAATAATATTCTATAGATTCATTTGAACTTTTTAACGGATCTAACTATAAGTTTATTTCCTTCCTCGTAGTTATTGCCAGATGGCAATTATAACCTTTATTGCTCCCATAAAGACACGTGTAATATTATTGCAGTGAGCAGTAATGGCACAACTACAAGGATCCTAAACTAAAAGTTGGGAGTTAACTTGGGTTATATATCCTATAATAATAGGCAAGGGTCGTTTCTCTCCAGTTCGGAAAACTGGCGGGTATAAAACTATCAAACTTTTTATCTCGAAAACTTGGCCGAGTCCTTGAAGGGAAAACTTTTCCTCCCAACTTTCCCGGCTACTGTTGGATTTTCTTCCTCCCTCCTCCCGCTTCTCCCTCCCCCTATCTCCTGATTTTATCAACGGGTTTAGGAGTCTTTTCAGGATTTATTAAAACATTTATTAGAGGCTTCTGGGACAAAAACTTCATTAAAGTGCTCCTTAACTTTATTAAGATTTATTTCTCGAAACGTCCGTCAAAAGTTTCCGTCGATTCTTATAAAGTAGGGATCGCTTATCAGATTACGAGAAAAGTTCGCCCTTTTCAATCCTTCCACGAGGGGTTTTGAGTTTTTATTTAATGTGGAACGTAAAATGGGTCAGTTTTTTATCTTTATGTATATGAAATAAAATTCATGGCTAAGCCTATACTACTTGTTTAACTAAAAAAAAAAAAATAAAAGGTATAAACAAATTACTTAGTGAAAATAATAAATAATTCCCATTTTTATAAGTAAGTTTTTGTAAAATACATCATTTACCGTAAAGATAGCCGTCCAGATCTCTGCTCTACCTTTATCCATTGTATCTAATAATTTCCTTAAAGACATAAATATGAACATAATGTGAAGGATATCACCTTCACATTATTTTTTTATGACTTTAGGCACATACTTAGATCCGAATTCCAGAGTCAGAGCGAAGTGCCTTACTCACTGAGCTACATCGTTCTCGTATTAAAAAGTGTTTTATTTTACTTTTCCTGTGGGGCGTTGAGCTTTCGGCCTGTTTAAAGGCTATATGCGATTATAAAACAAAATTAACTAAATAGAGATACAGAAATAATAATTTAAAAAGATGCGTTGTTCTGATTCTTTTGAATAACTCCTAAAAAATTATTTTTTAATTTTCAAGTTTTCACATTTACTTGTACGTGCAGTTTAGGGAAAGTATGTCAATTAGTTATATATTTTTATTTCATTCAACTCAATTCAGAGAAGATAGAATATTGGAAGTGTGAAACCATTGAATGGAATACAATCTATACTTAATTATTTTGATATTAAAAGGACCGGTTCACTGATACCGAATCGGTCGAGATATAGCAGCGGTGCGGATTCTATTCCCGACTGAGTAATCTCGAAATTTATTAGATGGGGCGCCTCCCCTCCCCACTCCTAATAAATCTTACAATTCCCCCATTGACCATAAAATATAAGCAACCTGTAGATAACCAGTCTCGCTTTATGCCTTAGCTTGGTTAGTCCTCCGATATAGCCCTCCTTTCAAAAGTTTTTCTATTTACTTTTTTTTCTTTAAATTGCACTGGCATTATATAATAAATATTTTTATTATCATGCTATCTGCATTTAATTATTCTTTTGGGTCATTACTATATATATTTATTAATAAACTGGTGATTCAATGGTGAATAAGTTAAAGTTTTGTTCTTGTAAATTATAATGTTGAATGAAATAAACTCTTCGTTAAAGCTCCTGTTTAAAAATAACGCAGTTGTTTTTTTAGGATGGCTGTAAATAAATTAATTGACACCCGAAGTATTTTGTATAACGGTTGAATTCCGTTAAAAGAAAAAAAAAAAAAAAAAAAAAAAAAAAAAAAAAAACTACAACTGACAACCCAGGATTTATAAGTATAATTTCATATTTTATTTCCCTCTGCTATTTTCCTATTTAGCAGACTACTTATAGCAATTTCAGAATACAAAATGTCATTTTTATTGCAAAGATAATAAATATGTAAAATTGTTACATACGACCTTTTGCACTTAACAGTAGCGGCATGGTTATTAATAATTAAAAAAAACAACAACAAAGTTTACATACATTTATTTATTAGGATATACTTATTTTAGATATTCATGTTTTCACCCAAAGAATGTAATACCTCTGATTTTAAAAATAAATCGTACAAAAAAGGGTTAGCCCCGTCACATAAAATGATGCAGAAAAAGGAAAATTTGTAGAGTTAAAAACACGTTATAAAATAAAATAAGGATAGACATTTTTGTCGCTTAAGTTATTTTTTTTTTAAATAATTCATTTATTAATTCTTCATTTTATTGAAGAAAATCAATATAAAGGTTTGTTAAAAATTCATACAGATGTTAATTCAAACAATTGATTTATTTTATCTTTTTTGATTTCTATGCAATCGCCTCGAAGTCTTAAATAAATTATCACTATTAATAATTTACTTTAGTCATTATTTCTTTTTTTATTTTTTATGATTCATATTTTTAATAAATTTATCGTCGCAGTTGACGTCGATGCATTTACTTTTACTTATAATTTACTTTTATTAATAATTTACTTTAGTCTTTATTTTTATTTTTTTTGTAATTTATATTTTTAATAAATTTATCGTGGTAGTTGACGTCGATGCATTTACTTCCTCCGGCCTCGATTTAGTAGAGGACAGGGACGCAATCAATATTTTAGTAAGATTTATACAGTAGCTTGCAAACAACTCCAAATGTCGGTTGGCAACATGTCAAACTCCCCCAAGCTCTCAATAGTGCCTGACCCGTGTTTTGTGGCATAGCTAATTTATTAGCTCTCTGACATAACGATCGGTTCCAAGCTTTCAAACGCATTGTATAATTCAAAATATTTTTATAATTAAATTTAATAATATCGTCGGTTCATTACAAAAATTCAT